CTTCACAGCTCATCGGATTCCCCCCGCAGCCTAAATAAAAGATTCTGACCAAAACACGACCACGATTTCGCGCACGTCGTCTTCCGTAGCCAGACCGCCCTCGTGCTGACTTTGAGAACTCGCGTCTCGGTGTGTGCGGAATCAGAATCAGAAAGGGTTTTATTCGCCATGTAAGTTCACACCGACACGGAATTTACTTTGGCAGGATGGTGCATACATTCGACATATAGGAATCTAAAATCTTAAATAAGTTTTAAACAAGTCTTACTATAATAAGGGTTAAAAGTCTAACACCAAGGGGCTGAAGTATATAAAATTAAATACATATCGAATATAAAATAGCTTTAAGATATAATTTAAAAATAAAAAATACAAATAGGGTAACATAGTTAATATCGGCAAGGTGTCGTTATGTAGATCAAATGTTAAAAAAAAGAAATGTGACGACTCTCCCCCCCCCCCCACCTTCCTTACTCTCTGCTACCCCCCCCCCCTCCAGCGTTGCTTCAATTTCCTTCTTCCTTCCCCCCCCCCCGCCACCACCGCTCGCCACTCCTCCATCTACAGCCTCCGCTATCACAATTAGCACGGGTCAGCACAGCACCATAGCGCACCATCTGCCTGCGTATGCTGCCAAAGATTCACCACCCGCCACCCTCCCCCGCGCCCATTATTTATCCCATTGTGTCCCAGCGTCGCGGGTCAAGTGAATCCGCCTGCAATAAATATGTAATAGCCTCCGAAACGAACACACAAAAAAAAAACCAAACCCGCGGCCCACTTTGTTAACGGGGCGTCTGTGTTACCAGTGAATGGTGGCGAAGACAGACAGACGATTCTCGTGTAGTGACTTCTTTTTTTGGGGGGGGGGAGGGGGGTCGGGGATTTGGGTGTGAATAAAAAAAACCAATGCATGTTTTTCAACCAAATGTGTGCGGCTCGAAGTGAAGGCAGCTTTATGCGAGTTCCTCGTCACAGAGCAACAGCAACGTCGCCTATCCGAATCTACCATTTACTGTTTTATTACATTTTATTTTACCCACTGAGCTGTGTAAGCTCTTTTTTTTATCAGAAGCTGACCTGGCTATCACACAGCGTTGGTGTACGATGCTATTTCAGGAATATTTTGATGTTTTTATCCTGGATTTTCTGTTTTGCACAGTCACATAGTCACTCTAAGATGTTTTCTTGTTCATGTTTTTTTTTGTTTGTTGCGGTTGCACCCGATTCAAGAGCCGAATGGCTCACAGTGCTATACCAAATAAATGAACTATGAACTATGATAGCTAGACGAGGTCGCTTATAGCAGCCAAATACTTCAAAGCGCACGTTGATTGTAAATGTGGATGGGGAATAAAACCCGAGGATCCGGAGGAAAATCCAAGCGGCCACGGAGAGAGACAGCTCAAAATATACAGGCGTCAGGGTCACGACTGAACCCACGACCTCCCGCAAACCAGGCGAAGTATTTAACATCTCGCCGCTGACTTGAATCTCAAGTCACTAGCTTCTGGGGAAGACATTTTACATAAAGGGGGGATTAGTAAATTAATTACGCTTTATTAAATACAGCAAGTAATTTCATCCACGACCTCATTGTATACCAGGCGAGGTAGTTAACATCGCTGGGGACGGAGGTACGGGCGGTTATATGAAAAGGTCGCATATCTGAGCATCTGTATAAAAAAATAACAACATCTCAAAAGTGCATAACGCACGGAAAGATGCGCGCTTGCATGGGTCAGAGAATGTAAGTATGTATGTTGGACTTCTTTCGCACCGTACGTAGCCGACAGTGCTACTCGGAGGTATGTAAGTTAAGTACGTATTAATGATCAGTGGTTCTTCACATTTAGTGCAGCACGCACCCCCTTTGGTTCTCAATCGTACTCAAAATTATCATGATAATAAATACATAGGGGTTTGATGAAACAAAGTAATATCTACGTAGATATCTACGTGGCTTTACCGAAAGACCCAAAGAATATGGATTCCTGCAGTCACGTAAGCTTGAAGTCAAACTAGTTATGCTTACGTGTCCGTGCTTAATTTGTTTTTTCGATTATTTACCTTCGAAAAAAACTGGCCACGTCTCGCACCGCCCAGAAAGGGCATCTCGCACCCCCCAGATTAAGAATCACTGCTTTAAATAATAAGTAAGCAGGCTTTGGCAGGGTAAGTTCCAAACGGCAACACAACTTCATACCAAAATTGTATAAAGTATTATGCGAGTTATCGTGAGCCCCTGCTACAGACAGATGGACAGAGCTCACGCGATTCGGTGCCTTTCGGGCACACGTGGCCAAAGAGAGTTTACGTGGAAAACCGATCCCATATTTTCTCCGCGTGTTCTCTCGTGTGAACATCCTGGGATAGACTGGACATTTTGTCCAGGGCCGGCAATGTGCAGATGCCCCCCCACCACCACCATCACCCAGTACGCCCCCACTCTCAAGGCAGCGGTAAATATAGAAAGCGTGTGTGGCTGGATGGGGGAAGAGGGGGTGCGATGGCTCGTGGTGTCGGAGCTCTCGACTCAGCTTCCGATCATCGCAGATGGAAGCCCAAAGTGGTCGCAGGCTTCTCAAAGCATTGCTGCGGAGGCAGTGGTTTGTTTACCCAGAGTGCAAGCATCTCCCTGAGGGTGCGAGATGCCCTTTCTGGAGGGTGCGAAACACAACTTAAGCTACGGGCACGCAAGCACAACTACTTTGTTTCATCAAACCCCTATGTATTTATTAACATTTCTTTTTTTGCAGTAAAGGAGGCAGGCTCCCTTCCCCTACCCCCTCCCCCTGTTGCCGCTCGCCTACCACTCTCGTAAAAAGTGCCATTGTCAACAAGAGGGGGTGCAGACGGGTGCAATCGGGCTCGCTCTCTAGCCAGTGACAACGACTTCCACCTCCCGGGGAGACGCGTGATCACCCATGCGATACCCCGCATGAGAATCATCAGAATAGGTGTTTGTTACTGGAGCAATGCGATGAGCTATAAAGCTATTTTTTCACAGATGTCCAGAATCAGAATACGTTTTTATACTGGCGGAAAACGATGAGCTATAAGTTATTTTTGCACAGATGTCCAGAATCAGAATTGTATTTATACTGGAGGAATCCGATGAGCTATAAAGCTCTTTTTCACAGATGTCCAGAATCAGAATAAGTATTTATACTGGAGGAAACCTATGAGCTATACGGTATTTTTGCACAAATGTCCAGAATCAGAATTGTATTTATACTGGAGGAATCAGATTAGCTATAAAGCTCTTTTTCACAGATATCCAGTAGGGGCACGGGGTCAGAACGTTACAAAAACACAATAGGAGTGCAATGTATTAAGTAAACAAGTCACTTTTTTATTTTTTGTTTCCCTTCTACGTGACTTTACCGAAAGAACCAAGAATATAAATCACTTTTTGTGATTTTATCTTACCAGGTAAAGCCCACTGAGCTATTTATTAGCTTCTGTTTCCAGAAGCGACCTGGCCATGAATGATAACTCAACGAGAAGTGGCTTAAATTTTGATTTAAAGCTTTCGTGACTGCAGTAATTCATATTCTTAGTTCTTTCGGTAAAGTCACGTTGAAGGGAAACAATAAAATAATAAAATATATATAAAACAATAAAAAAATTATCACGACGTTTCGACCATAACACCAACGGTCGAATATGAGAAGTGGCTTATCATTGTGTGGAAAAGAAAATGATAGTGGCCAAAATACTCTAAACGCGTGACGTTGATTCTAAACGTGGAGGGTAAGAGCGTGGCATGTGGGGGGCACCGCATGCCAAGTTTGTGTCCTCGGCACGCCGCCGGCTCTGTACAACTCCTCGATGCACGAGCAGTGTGATTCAGCCAGAATAGCGCCGGAACGCTGTTAGCAGCACAATGATATCGGCACGTCACATCCATCTTGCCTTATTTTGCTGCTATGGTAGTGCCTTATGCCAACAGTGCATACTCCAAGCCAGCCTGGCGGCATTCCTAAAAATATGGAGTGATATTAAGCGTGGTGTCGATCAGGGTTTGTAGCCCAGAAAGTGCGCCTATTGACGCACATATATATTTTTTTAAAGAGGCACAGGCAATGTCTGCCCGCATACAAATTAAGATGGCACGTTCGTGAAAATACTTCTCAGGAATGTTCTGGCGGAGGTGGAGTGGCATTTGTCTCACGGCTGCTGCGTCGCCACCTCCTACACCAGCAGCCTTCGCTAATTTTCCGAGATGTGTGGGGGGTCACTTTCGCCGATAGGGCATCACCAGAGTGAGGGTCGACACTCATTGTTTGAAACCATTGGGGGGGGGGGGGAGGTTGACAGCAGCACGATGATGATGGGGAGGTGAGAGGGGAGGGCGAGTCCACCGTGGGGTGGGGGGCGAGTCCACCGCGTGGGGGGGAGGGCGAGTCCACCGCGTGGGGGGGAGGGCGAGTCCACCGCGTGGGGGGGAGGGCGAGTCCACCGCGTGGGGGGGAGGCGAGTCCACCGCGTGGGGGGGAGGGCGAGTCCACCGCGTGGGGGGGCGAGTCCACCGTGGGGGGGGGCGAGTCCACCGCGGGGGGGGGAGGGCGAGTCCACCACGTGGGGGGGGGCGAGTCCACCGCGTGGGGGGGGGGGCGAGTCCACCGCGTGGGGGGGAGGGCGAGTCCACCGCGTGGGGGAGGGCGAGTCCACCACGTGGGGGGGAGGGCGAGTCCACCGCGTGGGGGGGAGGGCGAGTCCACCGCGTGGGGGGGAGGGCGAGTCCACCGCGTGGGGGGGGGGCGAGTGCACTCCGTGGGGGGGGCGAGTCCACCGTGGGGTGGGGGCCGAGTCCACCACGGGGGTGGGGGGCGTGTCCACCGCGTGGGTGTAAGGGGGGGGGGCAAGGCGAGTGGGGGGAGGGTATCCACCGCTCGTGGGGGGGGGGGGTGGTGGTCACCACGTGGGGCAAGTTTTGAATGGGCGAGCTCGCTCCCGTGATGCCCCGCGCGCGCTAACGGCTTCCCCCACCCCCACCCCCACCCCACAGTCTCCCCCCTCCCTCCTCCCCTCACACTCTACAGGGATCGCGATGGCGTCGACAGGGACGGACGCGACTCCGGCCACGCCGAGCAGGCACGAGAAGAGCCTGGGACTCCTCACAGCCAAGTTCGTGTCGCTGCTGCAGGAGGCGCCCGACGGAGTGCTGGACCTCAAAGTGGTGGGGCGCTCCTCGCAAACAGCTCTCTGTCTCTCTCTCTCTCTCGCTCGTTCTCTCTCGTCGTCGGTCGTCGTTTGTTGTTGTTGGTTTGCTGATTGCGCGAAGCTTGCGCGGCGAATTTGACATGCTCGCAAGTGACCACCGCGGTCACCGCTCATGCGAGGAATTGGTTAGAATCCCGTGGTGGTGGTGGTGGAGGTGGTGAGTTGAGTGGCGAATCGATATTAACCCAACGCTCGTCCATCATCCCCTCAGAACCCACGTTGCAGCGCGATACGATTTAAGCGACCGCGGTCATTTTTTTATTATTTTCGAACCGAAACGATAATTGTCGCGTGCCTTGGATGTTGTTTAGTTTTGTGTTTGTGTGTCGCCACTGGGGAGACGAAGGCGGTCACCCACCCCCTCGTGTTGTAACCTTTTTTTCCGGCCTTCGTTAGGTGGCTCCCCGCTAACGGCACTTGCCCCAGCAGTCTTGTTACAGGCTACACGGGGGAGCTTTGTCTTTGTGTCGTCTCGCATCGTGTCACCGTTTTGTAGCCTCTGGAAATCAATGCCTGTTGTGGACTTTGTCAAACAATCGAAGATTAAATTGTTCGTGTTATATAAAGTGCTCGCTATCCGTGGCGGGGGGGGCGGCTGTTGTTGTTGTCTTCGTTGTGAGAATCGCTTCGCCTCGCCACCATTGTCAACCTCTTGTCGAATGACAACCGCAGTCGCCGATCGAGTGCAATGGTTGTCGATACTTGGGGGAGACGGGGTTTGGGGGTTTGGGGGTGAGGTTTAAACTCGGCGAAGACGTAAGACACGAGGGAGCCCCTTAGCTCCATTGTTGTTGTAGCCGGGACTCGTGTTAAGGTTCCAACGCAGGATAAATGAAACGCGTTTCTCGTAATATCGCAACTCCCTCTTCTCACCAATGTCAAACGGGGATTGCGGCCGTGGTTAAAATCAACGTGGGGTTGGGGGAGGAATTAATCCTGGGGGGTAGAGACTGGAAGGGGGGGGAACCCCACTTGTGTATCGCGGCCAACCTCGTGTCTACTTCATCACGAGAGGGCTTTCAATGGGGCTTTAACTGCGGCCGCCTCACTTGTTACCAGATCGGAGGTTTTTTTTTCAAGAAAAATATCCTCACGCCCCTTGCAGGGCCCTCTTGTGTTTTGCAAATGAATTAAAGGCAATAAAACACGATTACCAAATTATTGGAAATTTCTGTGGCTGAAATAATGGAGGTTTGCAATTAAGACGTGGAAATATAATTTAAAAAATCGGAATATTTATATTGCAGGAGGAATCCAATGAGCTATGAAGCTTTTTTTTACAGATGTCCAGTAGTTGTCACGGGTAAGAACGTTACAAAGACAAACAATATACAATATTAGTGCAAAGTACAAGAAAGGTAACCAAATCACCCAAACACATGGAAATAAAACTAAAGCATCGCCATCTTACCAGGCAAAGCCCCCTTCGGTATTAACTTATTTTTCAGAAGCGACCTGGCTACCCCGAACGATAAGCTCAACATAGTGGTCCCCGTCATTTGGATATTTGTAGCAGCAAATTAATCTAAATAATCTCCATGCGTGTTTCTAAATGTGGAGGGGAGAAAACCGGAGTGCCTGGAGAAAAAAATCCACACTACCACAGGGAGCGAGAAACATGCAAACTCCAAATATGCAGGCAGTTTCCCCAACACTTTTACAAGGGAAATCCGTGGTGCTGAGTGAAGCAACACCGCATTTTTGGTTGAAAAAGCGCCAGGAATTTATGTACTTGTTTACGTACGTTTTGTTTTATATTTCGTGGCTTAGCTTTCATTTACTTTGTACTGCTATCGTATTTTTGTATTGTTTATTGTGGTAACTTTTTGACCCGACCCTACTGGACATCGGTGAAAAAGAGCTTCATAGCTCATCGGATCCTTCCAGTCTAAAGAAATATTCTCATTCTGAACAAAACAACAAAAGCGTAACTATGCCAGAGAACGAGTACCGGGTCCTGAAGGAATATCGCAACAAACTAGGTATTTGACAGTACAGTATTAAACATTGATCCTGAGGTTCAGGTGGAAATGTCAATACTTTGTTCACCCTCGTGAGCGTGAAGACGCTACCAATCTGATCACAGCCCTGGGCTACTGTTGGAAATTCCACATTATTATGGTGAGATTGAGGACAGATGCTGTTGACTTGCACAGGTGACACTGCATTTTTTAAAAAATAGAATAAAATATTAAGCAGAATGACGATCCTATGCATCCAACTATTAATAAAACTAGATTTTTTTTTGTCCTCGTCCATCTGCCTATTGGATTTTTAAGGCCAATATTGTCAAGCTGCAGTTGTTTAAGCAAACCAACCCTGGACCGGTTTCTACCTTTTGAGAGTTTCATCAGCAAAGTTAGGCTCACTGGCCGGAGGACTCCATATAAAGTGCGGGACGTCGTACAACACAAAAAGCAATGCGGTTATTAACGTGTTTTTTTCTGCTTTGAGATATATATTGCTGTTAAAGAGTAGTTGAAATAGATGTGTAAATTTCGATTTGAAAATTTCGTGACTGCAAGGATTCATCTTCTTCATTACCAAAAGAACCAAAGAAGATAGATGTGTAAGCCGATAATTTAACTTTTTAGTCTTATTAAAAAAATCTCTTTCAAGATGTCTGGCCAGCATGGAAGAGTAGACCAATGTTCCTTTACAGGGGCTCTATAGTGTTCTCCTTCGCAGTGGCCGTCCCTCCGCCAGCAGTGGCGTGAGCAAGACATTTCAGGGCTGTCTCTTTACCTTTTCAAAAATCTAAATGGCAATGCTTGTAATAAGGGAATGAGCTTGCTGGGAGTTCACTGAAGGTGCTGAGATTCTATGTTAATGTCACAACAAGTGGCCACTGCACAGTTTTACCAGGTCATTGCGTATTGAGATTGGCAGAGTTTTACTTGATAGCGTATAATTCGAATATTGTATTCTAAAATGGACAGGTAATAGCTTTGCTGATGTCATGCCTACCGATTAACCAATTATGGAAGTTTTATATATATTTATAAACGATTAATTGCTTCAGCGCTAATGTTCAGTATATACACTGATGGGAAAAACATCCAATAAAAATGCTAACATCACTTAATCCCTCTCCTTTGCTCGAAACGAAGGGTAACAATGTTTATGATGGTTGCTCTTATTTTTTAAAATGTTCAGCAATTCGATTCCCAGATTCCCCTTGTTCACCGTTGGCCCGCAGTTGAACGCCTCTGTCAGCAGCGTACATCACACGTGCGCGGTCTTGACCCTGTGGGGAATGCATTCGCGAGCAACGTTGTGTGGGGATGCAAATCGTTTTGTTGTTGTTAATGGTGCAGTGGTCCAGCACTGCAGTGTATTGCAGCAGTGCGTAATTCACAGCTGTGTAATTTATAGGACGCCAATTGTGAAACGGCCCTGCGGACTTGCGTATGCTGCACGCGTGACCCCAGAGCTATGCGCATCAGGAAACCTCTGCCGCTTCACAAATGCGCATTACTCACAGCTACTTGCTATAGCCCATCTCCACAACGCAAGGCACTCCGTGCGCTGTCACAGGACCGTGAACAATGTACATGAACAAATAGTCAAAGGTCAGCGGCGGCTTGAGGAGGCCTTCATTCAGCTGTGGATCGACCATGGCTGATGGTGAGATGAGTCTATCTCCACATGAAAAATATATATTTTTGAATCCTTCAGTCCGTGGGTACTTCTGGACCATTATTTTACAGGATCATCTGAAGCAGAATAAGTAATATTAAAAAAAAACTTTTTCAAAAAAACACGCTTTAATTAAATGTACCCTACGAGTAATTCAAGAACTCCACGACTACAGGAAGTGGCCCCGAAGCTTGCCATAACGTAAGACCGTGGTGATTTACAGCCAACGTTAGTTGAGCATGGACAATTAGACCCAAGCCGAAACATAACATATAAAATGATCGTTAATTTATTTTTTATGATAGAATATAGTATTGTCATCAGTATGACATAAGTATACCAAGTTTGCAGTCGATACCACATTGGGAAGTGGGTTAAAATTGAGTTACAAGATTTGAGGATAAAACAACAACTGACAGAGTGAGTTAATAGAAAGCGTTTAAAAACCAAGACCAGTATTTTACTTTCTTAGTATCATCTGCGGCGTCCAGCTTGTGGTTATTATGTTGCCAGATGCTATTGGCAAGAGCCATCCACCTACACCATAGAGCCCATTCAGTGCAAAACAGTTTTATGTGGAGAGACAAACTCTTGTTTATTTATGTTATCCAGGTTGCAAGGTATGCGTAGTTCTATAGCTGCACGGAAAACGTGTAGAGGATGCTAATAAAACACAGATGAGTGGTGCCCCATACTTCACCATTATTATTATTCTCTTCGCACAAAAAAAAGACAAGTGAAAGGCAAACTGCAAATAAAAAAGTGTTAAAAGATGTGCAGGTGAGGTTGGAAACCCAAGAGGGCTTATATGAAAACCACAGCAAAAAAAATAATGTATATGCAAAACAGATTGTTCAATCATGCTATTCACTGCAGCGTTGGTGAAGACGGAAAGCCCACTGCCGCTTCTGATACCACCCGACTTAGCCGGGAATTGAACCTCAGATCGCGGGGCTCATGGTGCAGTATGTTAACCACTGTGCTACAAACCGTATCTCCCCGGGCACAATATTGCACATGTCGCCTCATTGCTTTTTGACACTCGCCAGATAGATTCACTGAAATTATGATGTGGATAATTGGAACAATGCAGCTGTGACCACTCTAATGATTGCTATTACTGCTCTTGGAAATGTGCAATTAAATGCGCTGACTAGTACAGCACGAGTGAGCATCTGCAGCGTAATGTGTAATGATTACAGAAGCCTGCAGTCATTTATCCCTGCCCCGCGGCTGATGCGTAATCCACTGCTGTGCTCTCTGCATGTTTCTCTCCTCGTGTTCCTGCGGTCACCTCATCTCTAGCACCCCCCTTTTTAACTCTCACCGCTCACAGGTTCTGACCTCGCCTTCGGGTCTCCTGAACTCCCCAACATCATTTTGAGATTTAAAAAAAATACGGGGCTGAACCTTTACCTTTCAAGCCAATGGAATCAACGAGACGGAACAAATTATTACGTAACATGAACAAGACGCAGTCCAAATAAGATGCTGAAAGGACAAAATATATGTTTTAAATAAAATCGTACACCCAAGTTTAACAGGTTTATCACCTTTTTCGGGAGGGATGGTGGCTGGTTGAGGCTGATTCTATAACGTGCCTATTTTTTTGCTGTCAGTGCACTCTGGCAAATTATAAATGTTAATGTGTAGAGTAATTATATAAAGGGGAGACATTTGTAAGATCGTATGGTATGAGATGCACAACATACGTGTTGTGTGACGCATTCATCTTTGTTGTAGTTTTAATGGGCTAATGGGGCCTACGTGAACATTATAAGACAAGAAGATCCCAATGCTCTAGGGCAAATGTTAATCAATAAAAAATAATAATCATTTGTTGGCTGTGGCACAATTATGACATGGTGTGTTTTGTATTCTGTGTTATATATGTGTATCCTGAAAATGTGGGGGCCTTTTTGCTAACACATAGACCACTTGTCTCTTAAACTAAACTCAATATCCACTTTTATTGCAGGCAGCAGATTTTCTTGCCACGCAGCTGAAGGATAAACGTTTTACTTTTTAATCTGTATTGGCTCTGGCACAACGAGTACAAGAGGCATTCTGTTGTGTATGTGTCAACGCGAATGTGTGTGTGCGCGTTTGCTTACGAACAGACCACTTTGTGCCTTACACCAGGCTATGAATGTCCACTGTGTTTACAGGCAGCAGATACCCTTGCCGTACGACAGAAACGGCGTATATACGACATCACCAACGTGCTGGAGGGCATTGGCCTCATTGAGAAGAAGTCCAAGAACAGCATCCAGTGGAAGTGAGACTTCTATTGCTCTTCCTTTACCTACATTTATGTTTAATGAATATGACATGTAATAATTGTCCACGATAGTGTTTTTGTTGGGTTACGTCATGTTAATATAAATGGTGTCGTTAACCCGCCACCACCCGACAATTCGTAAGGTTTGTCACGTAAACAAAACGTCTTAATTTGGTTACTACAGCAAACTGGTGTGTTGGAGAGTAAACCCACAACATTTACAATTCGAGTACCGTGACCTTTCGCTGGTGATTACAACCAGCTTGATCAGGCGATTTACCAGAATTGTGAAGAAGTCTTTTTTTAGGTCTTAAATACACTAATAATTGTTTTTGACCAAATCACCCAGTGAATGCACCATATCCCATCAGACCACGGAAGCGAAATAAAATGGAGCCTGGCTATTGCTTGGATGAGTGACGAGCATGTATTAAAACAGGTATTACAGGTGCTTGTGGGGCTGAATTTTCAACAGAGGGCAGTGCAGCAAGGCCAGTTTTTTTGTATTGAGCAGCAATGGCTATGCTCCACACCTTCAAAAACATCCGAATATTTATGCTGGAGAAATCTGACCAGCTATAAAGCACTTTTTAACAGATGTCCACCTTAATTCCACTGCTGGATTTAAGCGCTTCCCACACCGTTGCCAGTCTTGCGAGTTGTTTGATCATACTTTCGCCATGCTCCTTGCAGTGCAAGTTGGCGAAGAGTGGTGGGTTTGGGCCAGGACCGGGTTGGATAATGCTCGTAGCTAAGTATCGATCTCAAGTTCACTAGGTTGTTGTTAGTGCAGTGCGCGTAACACAGCAACACTGCCCTTTCCCTTCATATAAAATGTACTTACAGTTTGAATGTGTAAGAAACTCACTATTTGAATTTGCCAGTTGAGGCCCACTGAGCTAAATAGATATATATTTTTTTCAGAAGCGACCTGGCACACAAATGATAGCTCAACTAATTTGCTTATCGTGTGTAAAATTATATCAGCTAAAACCTCTAATCGCACGTTGATTCTCAATGTGGAGGGAAAAACCGGAGGACACGGAGAAAAATCCACGCGACCGCGGGGAGAACACGCAAACTCTAAATATACAGCAGGCGTCAGGGTCACGATCGAACCCACGACCTCCTTTATATCAGGCGATGGTAGTGGGGAGAGTCGGGGATGTGGGGGGGGGATAGTGGGGGATTTGGAGGGAGAGTGGGGGATGGGGATGTGGGGGATGTGGAGGGGCGAGCGGGGGATGTGGGAGGGCGAGCGGGGGATGTGGGGGGGGGCGAGCGGGGGATGTGGGGGGGGAGCGGGGGATGTCGGGGGGGGGGGGGATGGGGGGGGGGAGAGCGGGGGATGTGGGGGGGCGAGCAGGGGATGTGGAGGGAGAGTGGGGGATGGGGGGGGGAGCGGGGGATGGGGGGGGGAGCGGGGGGTGTGGGGGGGGGAGAGCGGGGGATGTGGGGGGGCGAGCGGGGGATGTGGGGGGGGAGAGTGGGGGATGGGGGGGGGAGCGCGTGATGTGGGGGGGGAGAGCGGGGGATGTGGGGGGGGGGAGAGCGGAGGATGTGGGGGGGGAGAGCGGGGGACGCTGTGTCTGTCCTCAACTGAGAGAGAGGGAGTGGTGATGTCAGAATCACAAAGGCGTTGTGAGCACTCTGCACCCACAATTGATCTTAAATCAAGCGGCATTTTTTCGTAGCACGTTAAACAATTTATTGTACGTGACTAACTGATGCGTAAAATGTATAGCTTAGTCTTTTTTTTCTAACATTGCAGTAATCACAGTGTTGTATTGTGGGTTTTTTGTAGTGAAAATGTATCTTCCGGTAATGAACATTATCCACGTGATAGTTAAGTGTCAATGAAAGCACGAAGTTATTCCATAATTTTAATATGAATGTATGTTAAAGTGGCTCTCTTTCAGCAATTACACTTAGTCAACTCAGCACCAGACAAGCAAAACCTGTTTTAGTCAATAAAATCCACTGGTGTGAGCTGCAGCCATTCACAATTAAGGATGCAGACAACCAATGAGAGCTGACCTTGCTAATGGGTGCACATTTTTCTAGCACGTGCCAGCAGTCTGCCATCTTAGGTAGGGGATAAAGGATGCTGTATCATCTCTTGTACCCTGGCACAGCAATGGTTGTCTTGTGGATAAACTGCCCCCTGCCATAGGAATGCAGAATTTCCAGCACTGGCTATGGACTGCTGTTGGAGATGAACCTTCCCCCAGGCCCATCAACAACTGCAGCAACAATCGGCCATTCGCCACTAAGGCGCTTGTGCCAGACTAGGTGCACTTTAAGGCCACGTGAAGTGTCGAAAGCCCGCTGGTAGGAGGTCACGGGACAGACCCAGGTGCCGTGGGTTGACTAACTGAGATGACTGGCCGATGCACCATCTGTGCCCCCTACTATGCCAACTTGCTGCGTTTTAGCCGCCCGGCGCTCCGCTCATTGTCATGAGCGTCGCTCCTCTGCCCCCGTTGTTAGAGGGCGACTGCCCCAGGCTCATCGAGCAGAGAGAGATTGACATTATTGTTTGATGTTCACGAAAAATAGGTCAAGTCTTGTAAAGGATCGGTATGAACACATTCTTTATTATTTTTAAAATCGTCCTTTTAAAATGTAAACTTTCAGTTGATTTGCTAGATTAACTTTTTACATTTTTCCTGTAGAGTAGCTGCAATTATGCACATATCCTGACAACAAATATTACTCTCTTCAAATTTCCCTTTTAACTTTGTACCCATGTATATTGTATATACCAACAGGTACAATCTGAGTAGTGTGACCACCCAGCAGTATATATATGGGTACTCCACACTTAATGGATCGTCAGGGGGCGGCATCTATGCTGTTTGGGCACAGGGCGGGGTACTGCCACTGTGCCCAAAAATCTATGGCCGGTGTTGAAGAGGAGGCCACAGTACCCTCTGCGGGTTTTCTGGCGATCCCTCAAATGGAGGCTCTTCTGCCAGCAATGGCGCGAATGGTACGCCACAAGGACTGCGCCCTTTCACCTTTTAAAGAGCACTCTTGTCATTGAAGGGCCCCTCACATTCGCGCAGTCAGTTTCCCCCGTCCTCTGTTGAGTGGGCAAGTGGCTGCGCCGGTGCCAGGCGTGCGTTTGCAGGTGACACCGCGGAGCCGTTGCCTCAAGCGTTTGAGGCGACCGCCGCTTTTAAACGACGAGCCGTCCTCTCGAGCCGCGCCGAGGCGGCTGTGGCAGGTGCACACAAACACACGGGCGCACACGCGCGCACCGCTCTGCGAAAGCGTCGCCGTTGTGGAATGTTGGCTAGTGTATGCTGACGCGGTGATGAAGCGACTTGTTCAGAGCTGTAATTGTCGAGGTTAAAAAGTAAAAAAATATGAGATGTGCATGCTTTTTTTTAGTAAAAAAACATGAATTGTGTATGCTAAATATGCTAAACACAATGTAAACCGAATGTATGTGCATATGTTGAGCTTCTTTGGCACCGTGCGTAGCCGGCCGTGTTAATCGGAGGTGCGGGAATGAACAGTCTACAGAGGAATCCAGTTGGCATGCGTTTATTTCGTCTGACAGCATTTATCTTGACAGTCGATAAGGCTCACATTTTCTGTTATGTCAGTGAATGTTGCTATATATATCACATCGATATTATGCGTCTGCTTGATATGAGCATGGTTGTGTGTTCTCCCCTCTCAACTCGTATCTGTCTTTACCACGTGTCCTCAACTCCAGCAACCAAATACACTTTTGTCAAAGCCCCAAGTCATTCACTGTTCAGTGGGTTCGTCACTCATTTTCTGCTGTTGATCCCACAGTCTGGAATTTCCTCCCTCTGGCCACCTTAACTTGCTCTCACTCCTTCTCTAGCCCAGGCCTAAGTTTGACTCTCTCTCTCCTGCCTGTGACTGAACATGTGTCTCTCAAGAGGCAGATAATTGTATTGTCTGTTTAAAAAAAGTTTTTTGTCAGTGATTATTATTATTCTTTAATATATTTTTGAACTTATTTCGTTTCTGAAAATAACAAAAATTAAAGTTCACTAATTTAATTCAAGGGGAAAAGCTGGCATGGCGACGTCATCATTTTGTTTGTAAGCGTTATGGATTGTAAAGTGACCAAAATATTTCCTGGGCCTTTAAGGCAACTGCAGTTGAGGTACTTTTAAGCAGTCTTTGTTCGTACTCAAAGTACACCAACGCACTTGAGCAAAGTGAGAACATTTGGAGATACAATTACAAAGTTTAAAGGAAACTGACATCACAATAATCATCACAATCGTAAAATGTAACATCGCATTGTATCATGGAAAGATTATTTTCGCAGCAACCCTTCCAATGACCCTTTTAGAAAGTTTGACCAAACTTCCAAGAACCATACTTTTATTTTTTGGAGCAATTACTATCTTTTAGTTGCTCCCAATTAAATGCATTGGACTGTAAAATTGCTCCGGATCATTTTACTACGACCAAAACAGTTGTGCAGCCCCCTCTGAGCTGTCTCTGGCATCGTGCTCAGAACCATGCAATCATGTTTTCAGTTTACTCCCTACTGGATGTGAGATACATTGCCAGTGTATAATGATTGATAGAGGATGCATATTGGTTACTAAGGGATCATTGGACATTATCAGCGCATTAGCAAGTGTACACGCTGTATACCCATGATGCAGGCAGCCGGGTAAAGCACACCTTAACCATCAAGGTTGGAGGGAAGTGATGCATATTGTACACCGTTTAAAGGGCATAAAATGTTGATAAAGTTCTTACTCCTAGAAACAATTATTTAAAGTACTCTGATGGTTCGGAGTGTTGGGAGAAGCCGGAGTGTTGGGAGAAGCCGTGTGTGGTTTATGTTTAATCTTGTTGCCACAAAATGGTAGATCAACAAAGCGGCTTATCACGTGGACATTTAAAGCAGCCAAATACTCGAAACGCATGCTAATTGTAAATGTGAAGGGAAAAACCGGAAGGACCCGGAGAAAAATCCACACGACCACAGGGAGAACATGCAAATTCCAAATATACAGGCATCAGGGTCAGGATCGAATCAACGACCTCCTGTATACCAGGCGAGGGAGTTAACATCTTGCACACCGGCGGCACCTCCTAAGTGTGCCTTGCCTCCCATTTTATAACAATCGTGAAACTTACCCCAATGGGTAGAAACTTGAAAGATGGTGGCAAGATTTGGAAATCCTGTCCCGTTTTTTTATCCTTTTGTCTAGTCTCGGAAAACTTCAACCTTCACGGCAGTGAACCATACCCAGTGCAATGCTTTGTCCTGCACACTGACGGCGTTTATCGCAGGAAGGAAAACGGTTAGATGAATATTTCGGCATGGGTCTTGGATGTATCACACAAGCGCGTGAACTTTGCCTGTAGGCGCTTATTTGTCGTCTACCTTCTTTGTGGTTTGTTGACTTTGCGGTGTTGGGGTTTCAAGACAGAACCTCAGAACATTAAACACACACACGGCGGCGTTGTGGTGTGTAAAAGTTTTCTCTCGCTTCGTTTGGCTCCCCAGTGTTCCCTGTGCTCCTATCACTTTTTTTTTTACAACCGCTGTTATCCGACAGTTGTTGCCCAGGTGTGGGCATTGAACTTTTTGTGAGTACGTAAAATTGAGGCTTTGTTTGGTACACTTTTACTGCAGAGTGCACAGTCTATTCACGTCTCTCTTCATGTGTTAACTCAAAAAAAGTGCTTATTTATAAATATCATATTTTGTTTTGATTTAAAGCTTTCGTGACTGCAGTAATTCATATTCTTAGTTTTTTCGGTAAAGTCACGTTGAAGAGAAACAACAAAATATATATAAAACAATAAAAAATTCTCACGACGTTTCGACCATAACTCAAACGGTCATCATCAGGTGTGTCGGTTTGCATAAATTTATTTTGAAAACGGCATGTTTATTTATTTATATATATAAAAATAACGTTTGCGTCACGCGCAACGATTGGCTGTTTGCCAGGACTAGTCCATCTATTTTTTGAAAAGAGGAGGGGGGAGACGAAATTTGTTTTTATGTATGCTGTCTGAAAGCCACTGTAAGCGTGAACAATCAATCAAGAACTGAAATGATTTATCAAATCTTTCCAATGATTGCTAAGATAGAATCCATCTTCTCGGTTGAAATTGTCTCTGTGTTTGTATATGTGGATAGCCTCATGAACGAATCTCTCATGGAAGCCAGATGGCTTACAAAGAACCTCCGTCTTGGAAAAGTCAATGGCATGTGAGCCTACTGAATTAGAACAATGATCTGCTACGGCCGAGGTGTTGGTCCTACCGTGTTTAAGGTCTGCTTTATGTTCACGAATGCGGTCCGAGATATGGCGTTTGGTTTCTCCAATGTAACTACTACCACAGAGGCAACTTAGTTTGTAGACACCAGGGTATTGTATGTCCGGAATCACATCTTTTACAGACATACAATACCCTGGTGTCTACAAACTAAGTTGCCTCTGTGGTAGTAGTTACATTGGAGAAACCAAACGCCATATCTCGGACCGCATTCGTGAACATAAAGCAGACCTTAAACACGGTAGGACCAACACCTCGGCCGTAGCAGATCATTGTTCTAATTCAGTAGGCTCACATGCCATTGACTTTTCCAAGACGGAGGTTCTTTGTAAGCCATCTGGCTTCCATGAGAGATTCGTTCATGAGGCTATCCACATATACAAACACAGAGACAATTTCAACCGAGAAGATGGATTCTATCTTAGCAATCATTGGAAAGATTTGATAAATCATTTCAGTTCTTGATTGATTGTTCACGCTTACAGTGGCTTTCAGACAGCATACATAAAAACAAATTTCGTCTCCCCCCTCCTCTTTTCAAAAAATAGATGGACTAGTCCTGGCAAACAGCCAATCGTTGCGCGTGACGCAAACGTTATTTTTATATATATATAAATAAATAAACATGCCGTTTTCAAAATAAATTTATGCAAACCGACACACCTGATGATGACCGTTTGAGTTATGGTCGAAACGTCGTGAGAATTTTTATTGTTTTATATATATTTTGTTGTTTCTCTTCAACGTGACTTTACCGAAAAAACTAAGAATATCATATTTTGTGTAAGGGTATTCACACATTATAGCCTGATTCGTACAAAGCCAACGTCGGTGAGAGATGAATGACGGTATTAAACAATCAATATATGTATCCATAATATATGTATGTATGTTGAACTTCTTTAGCACCGTACGTAGCCAGTCGTGTTATTTTTGTCGAAGAGCAGCATTTATAAACTTGAGCAATTGGGTCTGCTATAACGACACGCAATGTCTACCCCAGACACTTGACGTGGGGTAGAGAGGCTGGCCCCTGCTCTATTTTGGAGCTCGTTTGGCGCTGGGTGAACCTCGATATAAATTGGGAGTTCAAAGCGGGCAGTGTCGGATATCAGAAAACAAGTTGACCGTGCAGGCCTGTAACAAGTGGCTCGTGCATGGTGGTCTCCCTTCCAGGCACTATCTGGGGTCAGCCCTGCTTACCTTCCTAGATATGATTATGTTGGATGCATTGCAGTTGAGTTTGGCATATGCATGCAAGTTAAATACCTAAGGTTTATTGCATGTCAGTTCCACGGCAACCTTAGTCGTAACGATCGATCGTGCCGTGGCTCGTGTTTAATCTTCGAAGGTTGATTGGAAGTGCTTTCTGGTTCTTATTGACTCATGATCCAAGGAAAGTGTCAAGATCACACTCACCACCTTGAAGATCCTCCATGGCAGTGTTCTTCACTAATTTTGAGAGGGGGGCCACTTTTGCCGAAAAGGCATCGGTGTGAGGGCCTTTGCATATTATTTGAAACCATTGGGTGTTTGACAGCATGATGAGATGTTTTCACGTTTGTGTATTATTGGGGGCCGCACGTCAGGGGCCGCACTAAAGGTCACCAGGGGCCGCCAGTGGCCCACGGGCCTTGCAATGCAGAACGCTGCTCCATGGACTCCACTCTGCATATAACTATTGCCTCTCATCTCGCTCTACTATCCTCCACACACTCTCCACTCAAACGTCCAAGGCGTTATTTTGTAGTCGCCATCGCTCACTGGGATGTCACGAACTCTCCTATGCTGTTCCAATATTTTGGTCTGTCTGTGCTGTCGACTCCCTGCCTCCTGTTCAAGTCAATACTCACTACTTTTCTTTTTTCCCTGCCTACGACTCTGCCATAGGCAGAGGAAAAAAAGCCCACTGAGCTATACAGCTCTTTTTCAGAAGCGATCTGGTACACAAATGATAGCTCAACGACGCGGCTTATCACGTGGAAAATATATAGCAGTCAAATCATCTAAATGCATTTTAATTCTAAATGTGGAGGGAAAAAGCCGAAGGACCCGGAGAAAAATCCACACGACCACGGGGAGAACACGCAAACTCCAAACATACATGCATCAGGGTCGGGATCGACCCCACGACCTCCTGCATACCAGGAGGGATATTTAACATGTTGCCATAGTGCCCATATATCATCTTCACTTGCAGTACCCATGTAGATATGGTACGAATCCACATTGTATGTTACGGTGTTGACATGACAACTCAACACGTCGATCGTGCCGTGTGTCCCCATGGTTGCCTGTGTGTCCAATTTAAAGGGGGGTGGGACCCGGAGCGAACACGCGGGAGATCTCCGATCGGCTCGTGGAAATCAAGGAAGAGCTCGAGGATCTGGAGCGACGTGAGAGGGAGCTGGATCAGCAGCGCCTGTGGGTGCAGCAGAGCATTCGCAACGTCACGGAGGACTCTGACAACAGCAAATATCCTTTGTCGACATGTGCACGTGTGCCTGTGTGTGTGGACGTGGAGCTGAGTGGACTTGCCGATGACTGGTACCAGCGGTGTCAAGATCGGCCTCTGTGGAGGAGGCTCGTGAAGGACGCTATTGGGCAGTTGGAGGCAGTCGCCCTCCAACAACAACGGAGGGCGGAGGAGCGACGCTCACAACAACGAGCGGAGCGCCGGGTGGCTAAAGGACAGCAGGTTGGCACAGTAGGGGGCACAGGTGGTGCACCAGCTAGTCATTTTCAGTCGACCCGTGGCACCTGGGTCTGCCCCGTGACCTCCTGCCCGCGGGCGTTCGACACTTCACGTGGCCTCAAGGTGCACATGGCCTGGCACAAGCATCGTGGTGACGTCACCGCCACTTAGTGGCGAATGGCGGTTGTTGTTGTGTGTGCGCAGCCCTGTGAGTAGTTGCTGGATGTGTGCCATCGCTTGAGGAAACGCGAAGGGGCGGTCCAGAGCCTGAGAGGAGATGAAGCGCCGGGGAGAGATGACTTATCAAGCGAGCTGCTGAGAGGGGGAAGGGGGTGGTGTCTGTGTGCAGACTGCCCTAGGTGACGTCATTAGAACCCTCTGGTCCACAGGATGGGTTTCCTGCAGGATTGGAAGGATGCTGTGGTGCGCACCGTTTTAAAAAAAAATGGGAACTTGCACTGAGTGAAACGACTTCTTGGGTATCTCGCTTCCTCTCCAGTTTGCCAGGGAAGCTCCCGGCAAGGATTATTCCTTGACGTCATCTCTCCAGGCATGCTGAGGAGAGAGGCTTGACTTTACGGGTGGAATTTCAATCTGGTATAGATGCAATAGGTCTGACTCCCTATTGGTCAATCGTGTTATCTATGCTGATCTGGCAATTGCTGCTTGCCCTGAGAAGGAGTTGGAGATGCTACTGCTGAGCCTGAGGCATGCTACTCAAAAGATGGGGGCCTAACCATCAGCCCCCAAAAAAACAAAGCACCTGTATGGGTATTTTATGTCATCAATACTCCCCACATCCACTCCGCACGAGTGATGGGGTAGTTGAGGATAGAGTGGAGAGGTTTCCATAACTGGGCAGTCTGCTTCTGACTAGCTCCATCTTCACAGCAGAGGTCTCATTCCGAATCAGTCGAGTGGCATCTTTTCGACAGCAGCGTGTAACCCTTTGTGGAAACTACCTAGCCTACCGCTCCATACTAAGCCGGTTTTCGAACCGTGAGCCTCTGCAATACCGCTCGACCACTTGGCCTGCATCTACCTATCTATGCCTGTCATGCTTGTCAACCCATATGATTTACCTGTATTCTTGAACGGAGTAATTGAGTTTTCAGACCCATACAGCCGTTTCAATATGGGCAAACATTTAAGGTCTAAATTGGTCTATAATCAGGTAGGCACTGATACGGGGTTGACAGGTATGGCATGTCTTTATATGTTCGCCAATGACTCACAATAGTCCTCAATATGTGGCACACACGTATTCATATAATGCATTGCCTCATTGATTGTTGCCTTATAATGCTTTCCAAGTTGATGCAGTTATTAAGGGCGAAGTTGTGGAGCTTCTATTAAACGTTATGTTTAGCCATTGCATTGGAAGTCATTAGAGGAACTTTTGTTTCGGAGATATGGCCGTGTGCCGTGTGTAACGCTGAATGCCACACACACACACAGCTTAAGTTTAAAATGGATTGCCGGGGCGTTTTGTTTTTTTTGTAAGAGTTTGGTTTTGCCGATTGCTTTCCTGAACACACCCCCACGTCCGCGTTCCTTACCCATGAAGATATCTGCAAATGCTTCAGAGGTGGGGAGATTCTATTCACTTTTTAAATCAACACGGTTGATACATTAAAGCAGTGGCTCTTAACCTTTATTGCAACTTTGCACCCCTTTGGTTCGCAAACTGTATTTTTTGTTTGTTAATAAATACGTAGGGTTTGATACAAAATAGTTGTTTTTACGTGCCCGTGTTTTAAGTTGTGTTTCGATGATTTACCTTTAAAAAATCTGGCCATGTCTCGCACCCCCCCCCCCCCCAGAAAGGGAATCTCGCACCCTCATAGGGGGTGTGTGCACGCCAGGTTAAGAACCACTGCTTTTAAACGATGATTGTGCTTTTCATAAGGAGTGCTTACCAATATTCTTAGCTCTTTCGGTAGTCACGTTGAAGGGAAACAATAAAATATATTGTTTTATATATATTTTATTGTTTCCCTTCAACGTGACTTTACCGAAAGAGCTAAGAATATGAATTACTGCAGTCACGAAAGCTTTAAATCAAAATTTAGTGCTTACCAATGTTACGTGAACCTAAATGGTGTCGTAACAGAATACATACGCAGACAGTACGTGCCTTCACATATCCATACCAAATATTTGTAGGTTTAGGAATTTTTGGTATTGTGATTTCATGGTCTCAAAAGTACTGAGTGCTTTTTTTTAACCAAACATTAATTTATATAATGTATACTTATGTTGGGGAGTTGTAGGGGTGTAATGTTTAACACACTGGACTTGCAATGCTAAGGTTGCCGGTTCGATGCCCTATTCTGACACAGCAGTCGAAACACGAATGCAAATATTTTTAAATCGCCCACCCTCGGTGTTCACCCAGCAGTAAGGATTGTTTGAAGGCCAGCAAACTCTGGACCGGTTTTCAGCATTCATCGTCTCATCATTAGTCAGGCTTGCTTGAATTGATACCGGTCCAGGCAAGGACTCTCCTCTTACGTTTTGGGATCTTTCGCAACCGGTATTATAAAATAATTGAAAACAAAATATCTATCACAGCCCATCGTACGGATGGCGTAAACCTCATTTTAAAAACTACAATAATGAATTATCTGAAGCATCGTCATGCTTCGCCCTCCACTATGATTAATAATGATGGATCACGGCATCATTAATAATCATTATTTGCACTTATAAAGGTGCCTTTGACAATGTCTCCAAGGTGTCATTACCACTTCATAAATGGAACATAAGCGTTACCACCTGAACACAGCATTATCACAAGAACATTACAGCCACATGTGCCTGGGCTTCCTCTCCTGCCGTAGTGGCTACTGCTGATTTATTCCACCGCTGGTTTACTTTGAAACATTGTATTTGAGCAATGCCTTAACAGCTTAATTTCAGTTTAATGTGGAAATTGCTCTATGTTAAGGGTTCAGGGTTGGTGTATTATTCAGTACATTTACTGGCTATTGCCTGCTGATGGTTCTTGTAATTACTGGAGAAACTTACTCGAATGCTAAATGTTCTCGGTTTACTCTCCAACACACGTGTGCTGTACTAGTAACAAATTGGCATGTTTTATTTACGTGGCAAACCTTACTAACTAGCTGTGTCGGGTGGTGGCGGGTTTAACGACACATTTACGCGATCTAACCCCAAAAAAACACCTTACAGTTAATTGACTGGAATGGCTAGGATACATTTTTAAAAGACTTTTATCGGCAACTTCTTGTTGATCCAACAGATAACATGAATAGCTATGGATCTCCTGGCCACAGTGGATAATGGAATTCACTGATAGGGGGATGACAGCTCAGAATTGATGCGCTGTAGTGTGAGAAATATTTTTTTGTTGCCATGGAGGAAATAACACGAGCGCCTTGAATCGATACTACCTTGCCGTTTTTGACGGAAATAAAAAATTCACATCCAATTCCAAATTTACACTCTTGCTGTTATAAATATCCCACTGATTTCTCATTTCCCCTCTTTTATTTTCAAGAGGTCATTGACCCTGTGTGAAAGCAATGGCTCTAAGTCTTACAAAGGAGAGCGCGTTTATTTGAATCCGTTTATTGTAATTAGATGGAGACACGTAGAGTCCATGGAATAATGTTGTTTTCTCTCTACTATCAGAATCGGAATCTTAATCTTAAGACTGTAGGAATCCGATGACCTATGAAGCTCTTTTTCACAGGTTTCCAGTCAGGGCGGGTCAGCAAGTCTACCTAGCATTACCTAGAAATGGATCACCATGTATTTGCGATGCTTGCAAATAATAAGGTGCATTTTAACATGTAGATTTTCGCGACCAATATTCATAATACAGGTTTTTTGGGTCAGATCGTGTCAATATAAATGTGTCGTTATAAACCCGCCACCACCCGACACAACCAGTTCGTAAGGTTTGTCACGTAAACATAATATGCCAATTCGTTACCAGTACAGCACACTGGTGCGTTGGAGAGTACACAACATTTACAGTCTTGAGTACGACGTTTCGCCAGTAATTACAACTTGCATCATCAGGCGACAGCCAGATTTGTGGAGAAATCCTCCTGTTTTGTTCCTTAAATAGAGGGATAGATGTGATGGCGTCACTTGTGAGCTCCCGACGTGGGGTGCGTCTCAGGTGTGATTGACTCGAATGCCATGAGAAACGTGTTCTTCTTCGTTTAGGCGACACGCTGCTGGTGATCAAAGCTCCTTCTGGCACCCACCTGGAGGTTCCGGTCCCCGAGTCGGTAAGGAAAAGCGTTCTCCACTGTCTGAAAAACAAACTCGGTCTGGGCGCTAACGTCGGAGGCGATGCCGTGGTCGGGGCGATAGCGCGTTAATGTTGCAGAAGTTTGCAGTTTGTACCCAGCGGCCGCCCTGGTTAACCCTACCCCGTTCCGATGACGTACGTGTACATTCGTTTACACCATCAGTTTTTCTTGCGATTCCGTTCCAATGACGTACACATACATCATCCATAATAGAGTTTTACTTGGGTTAGATCGCGTATAAATGTGTCGTTAAAACCCACCACCACCCAGCCAACTAGTAAGGGTTGTCACGTAAACAGAACATGCCAATTCATCACTAGTACAGCACACCCGGTGTGTTGGAGAGCCAAGCCACAACATTTACAATCTTAAGTACGACGTTTTGCCAGTTAAAACAACTTGCTTCATCAGGCGACAGCCAGATTTGTGCCGAGGTTAATCTGTTTCCTTGTATCGTGGCGTAGACGATGACGTATTTGTATGGAATCGGAAGAAAAACGAAAATAACTTCATCGGTACCGAGGCTCTCTCACAAGGCCACGCGGGAGGGCGGTGTGGCACAGTTTGGCGCCAGCTAACGTATAGAGTGCGGCGGTCGTGTCGCTGCGGTTTTCTGCGGTGTGAGTACAATGTCTTTTAAAAACAGCGGCGCTGCTATGCCTCTAAAGAAAATGAACGCTGACCCGCTTGCGCGTTCCGAGATTCGGCGGTGAACGGGACACCCACCCTGCAACTTGCAGACTTCTCGGCACGGGGAAGGGTTAGTGGTCCAGGTGTATTTACCAAAAGATACTCGCCATCGTGCGTCTTTACAGTGGACGTTAAAGATCCTGCGAAACAATTAGAATCAAGTAGGGCCGTGTGTCGCTGGCACGGTTACAATTTCAAAATTGCTCGCAAACCTAATTGGGTAATTGCCTGGTAATAAGGTAGCATTGCATTTTACAGTTTTCATTCAGTTGAAGTAGGATGTAAATGGCATTTTTAAAAATACATATGTATTTTTTAAAACTCAACACATTTATGAATATACGCATTTTCCATGTCTGCAATCTGCTTTAGACAAACTATAATACATTTATGCTTTAAGCTGGCGTGCAATCATATCGACATGTTTGCACGTATAGTTTTTTTTACGTGTTTGTGTAACTACATGTTTGCATTGTACACACAAATACTTTACAAATCTATTGCATCACAAAAGGCATTTCACTAAGCGTCTTTAGTCCCATCGCAGTGTCCCATGTCCATTGTTTTATTCAGTGGTGCCCCTAGGTGGCACTGTGTCACAATCTCTGAATCCTGTGTATGGCTTCATTACGGGCTGTCTTCTCATTGTAAAATACAGTGAAACCTTGGATTGCGAGCATAATTCGTTCCGGAAACGTGCTCGTAATCCAAAGCACTCGTATGTCAAAGCGAGAAAGAAATCATGGAAACTCAGATGATTCGTTCCACAACCAAAACATACTGTATTCATATAAAAATTCTTAATACAAAATAGATTTTTTATATTTTTATTATTTAAATTTAATATAAAGTAATCAAATTGATTAATTACATTTAATCGTGGCTGGTGTGAGGGAGATGAGAGAGGAGAGGAGGAGTAGGGTTATTGTGTAGGACGACTTTCACTTGCAGTACAGTTACTAAAGAACAGTCACTACACTTGGACACAATAAAAAAATGCTTTACGCACACACACGTGGTCACAACACTATACTGTAATAAACAGTATACACGTGGTCATAACACTATAGTACTGTAGTAAACAGTATACACGTAGTCACACCACTATAGTACTGTAGTAAACAGTATACACGTGGTCACAACACTATAGTACTGTAGTAAACAGTATACGCTCGCACGGATATTGACTATACGAGTGAGGCACGCCGACTGAGACCGAGCATGGGAGATGATTACCCACAATCCCGCAGTGAGAGAGAGAGAAGAACCATTGGCTCGGTTGTGATCACGTGACGCTCGGCAGACAAAGCGTATACTGTACGTACTGCTCGTATTGCAAGGCCTCGCTCGTTTATCAAATTATTATTTAGTTAAAAAAATTGCTCGTCTTGCAAAACACTCGCAGACCAAGTTACTCGCAATCTAAGGTTTCACTGTAATACATTTCCATGGGTTTGACGAGGTCGTTAATGTAAAGCTGAATTGAAATCTTTCAAAAAGTTATAAGTTGCAATCCACCTCGAGGGTACTATACATGTTTTGAATGGATGGATAAATCTGTTGCAAGAAAATTTTATGATTTTCTCACGTAAAGTCCCAGTGACAAATTTGAATGTGCAGCTATCCCTCGGTCAACTCTGGGTTCAGAGGTCGACAGCGGACACGTGAAGTGTGCGAGTGCAGCGCGCCAACAGCGAGACGTCCGACCGCGTCCCTCTTGTGCTCGCCGAGCAGCACTGGGGGCTTCAGGTTGCCGAACGAGTGCATGAGAAGGTCGCACTCGGTACACACAAAGTGCTTCGCGCAAGTGAACCACAACACCGTGCTGATCCTCGTAAAGGGGCATAAACCACCGTCGCGTGAAATCCGGTCACCCTCGCAGCGGCGGCTTTTGACTGGCCACCAAACAGAGAGGGTCACCGCATCGCGCGCTTTCAGATGCGCTTCTGCAGCCGTCTGGAACGCTCTTCCGATGTTAGGAAGCCACTGGAGCTTTGCACTTTTAAATGTAGGTTGAAAACTCGTTTCTTTAGAACTGCCTTTTGTGTTTAGTTTGTTCTCCCCCCACACCTCCGATTGGCACGGTTGGCTACGTACGGTTCAACATACAACAACTGCACCACTATTTCCACTCCCCACCCTCACATCGCACCCAAGATAACCGATGAGATTGCATTCGAGGTTAAACTCTTTGGGGATGCGCGTCTCTCATTCCGTGTCTGTGCCCTTGTTGTTGCAGAGCTCTAACGGCCACAGAAAGTACCAGATCCACCTGAAGAGCCAGTCTGGACCGATCAACGTTCTGCTGGTCAACAAGGAGTCGTCGTGCAGCCCGGTGGTGGTTCCCGTGCCTCCGCCGGACGACATGGCGCAACCCACGCGGCACCTCCCGCCCCTCCCTCAGCGACCCGACCCTCCCGTGCCGGCAGACGGGCTTCTCGGTGAGCGGACGTGCGGGCTCGCCAGTCGTGCGGCGTAGCGTGGATCGCTCACAACAACGAGCGGAGCGCCGGGTGGCTAAAGCACAGCAGGTTGGCACAGTAGGGGGCACAGGTGGTGCATCAGCCAGTCATCTCAGTCAGTCGACCCGTGGCACCTGGGTCTGCCCAGTGACCTCCTGCCAGCGGGCGTTCGACACTTCACGTGGCCTCACGGTGCACATGGCCTGGCACAGGCGTCGTGGTGACGTCACCGCCACTTAGTGGCGAATGGCGGTTGTTGTTGTTGTTGTTGTGTGTGTGGGGCGGCTCTCTCGCTATTTAGGCGTCCCGACGACGAGGCACACACTGAGGATCTTGCAGCCAGGGACGGCTGCTGTGTGTCGGGCCTCGCAGGAGGATTCATTGTCCCCCCCCCCCCACCGCCGCACCTCCGATTAGCACGGTCGGCTACGCAACATTACTTAGTACGTACGTGCACGACAAAACAAACGCAGGGAAGAAAAACCATGCGCGTGTGCGGACGGATTTTTGCGGGACGCTTTCCGACGTGCGTTTGTCCTCCACATGCTGCAGTTCGTGAGCAGTTACAACGCAGGGTTCCATCTTGGCACGAACACTATTCTTACGTAAGTGATATTTCGAGGAAACGTGCATATGGGAACGCCTTATCAATTGAAATCGGGAAATCTGAGTTGGTAGATATAATCTAGATTTGAAGTTTTCGTTTTTTTTTCCGAGACCAAGGTACTCTGCAAACCTTCGGGCTGCTATCAAAGGTTTGTTCATGAAGCCATCCAGATATATAAACATAGACATAACTTTAACCGGGAAGATGGATACAAATTGAGCAATCATTGGAAGAATGTTATTAACCAGGTAAAACCTTAACTGCTTTATGGTGTTGCCTTCATATCCGCATCTCCAGTTTCTTCAGCCTCCCACTCGCTTCCCCCCTCCCTCCCCCCCGGCATTTTGTCGTGCACGTGTCTTAGCTTGCAGCACTCCACTCTCCCTACCCCACACCCCCACCCTCTCTATCTCTCCTCGCTGGCTCCTTCCTCCCCCCCTCTTACCTATATAGCCTCTTGTCACAGCAGCTCTTTTGCCCAACTTCGGCAGTTGTTTCTTGCTGTGGTTGTCCCAGCTGATGACGGACGCTTGCGTTGCGCCCGAAACGTCGTGATTTAATTGCCTGCCCCTGGTTCTGTTTTTGTTTACTGCTTTTCATGCATTGCGCATTGGGATCCTAGAATGGAATGCCCATTATACATTTAATTCTTATTATTATTATGCGTGATAACACTTTCACCCTCCGTTCAAGTGATCGCTTTTTTATATACACGTGGGGCACGTTCTCACACACTTGAGTATGACCGTAAGTTGTGAACACTCTGCCTGACATCCTCAATAAAACGAACAATAGAACCCCTCTTAACGACCACTCCTGTTAACGACTAATCACTTTACAACGGGCCTCCCTAGAGCCCAATGTCTCGTGTATAGTAGTTTATTGTATAACGTTCAAGGCCGTGAGCTTAACGATCATGTGATTATGCAAGAAGAGGCCACGATATACAATAGCCTCTAGGTTATTACACAGAGTGCTTCAAGAAAATGTTAACACTTATATGGGACTATCGTTTTTAATGGCAGTATGTAACATGATAATAAGTGTATGTTAATAGCTTCAAAAGGTAAGTGAGTCTCCACTTGTTCGCCATAATTGTCAACGCGTGCCTGGAATCTTCTCCAGGTAGTCTCCAGAGCCCGGAGGCACATTTCTTGTGGTGTTGCAAATTCTTACAAGTGTTAAAAAACATTTTTAAGCACCCTGAATGTCGAAAAAAATAAAATATTAGGGCCCCCCCCCCCCCACCTAACCGATTTACGCACACGCCCCTAGCCGATGTTGTTACTACGCCACCGATTATGACATACGAGACGTTTGCATTCAAGCGTGCGCGTTGTGTGTGTTGTGCGTTTTTGGTTTTTTTGCTGCAGCAGGGAGCCTGCAGCTGAGCGACCCCCCGTCGCCGATGAGGGGGCAGGCAATGTGCACCCAGAGTCCGGAGAGTCATGCCCTCTCTGGAGAACCGCAAGGCAAGCCACAACCCCTGCACCTAGCGCTGGAGCCCATCAAGGCGCAGACGGTCGAAGGTGAGGGCCGTCGCGTTCCCGTCACGAGAGGATTTTCCCCAAAAGCTCATCCATGTTTTCCTCTTCCCCCCCGCCCGTCTCGCCGCACGCGCTTGTGCTGCTGTCGTTGCCTAAAAGGACTTGAGTTGTGCAGCATGTTCGTCGTCGGTGTCGTTCGGTACAATCCGCTGTTTGAGATGAGGGCCTCTCCCCAGGCCTTTTTGTTTTGTAGTGGTCATGTGACCACACTTTCACACGCGAACGTGGGAGCCTAGGATCACAGTACAGCAATGGACTTTGCCACACGACCCGATTGTGCCCCAGCCACCTAGCCCCGTAAGCACTATGACAATCCGTTTGTGCATTGTGGTCACCCATCCAATCGCTTTGCAAGCTCAGACATTGTTAGCTTCTGATGAGGTTTTATTGTGGATGATTTCGACTTAATTCGGTGGTGTGGACACGGTTGGAATGCTGACAGCTCTGTTTCATGCATATATTTGAACGCAAGTTTGGCACATTTTTGTGGCTTTGACCTGAAGACAGCATAGGTGAGAGTGAACTTAAAAATTCAAACATGCGTCAATTTCCGCAATTTACATTATCGTTCATGTATGCATGTTGAAGGTCTTTCGCACCGTTCATAGCCAATCGCGCTAATCAGAGGTGCGACAGACAACTGAAACATCACCTGATACAGCCCAGGTTTTTGTAAACTCCATCCAAGTTATACAACTTCAAATTTAATGTATCCTTTAACTCTTCGTCATTTTCATTACCTTCTGATGTTCGAGTTGCAGCTTCAACGAGCACGTAAAATAAAGACATTAGTTTTGATTTCCCGATGCAAAATGCACGTTTTCCCCATGCATCTTCGCGCACACGTTGTGTTATTCAACAATGCGTTTTATATATTCGAACTGCACCGTTAGTGGCATGGTGTACACAGAGGGTGGTGTTCGAGAGAACACAACAGGCAGACAGTGTTAGGCAACAGAGATGGATGGAGGTTTAGACATGCATGCCAGCTACACTTGGGGTTAACTCTTTTTAAAACGCATGATGGACCTCGGCGGGGAATAAAGGTTTTGCATCTCTAAAAACCCGTAGCCAATCGGGGGGGGGGGTGCCCATTGTGTGCCCTTGGCACGGTATGAGTGGCTCCAGTGTTGGTGGTGCACAATGATGCACGTTGGCAGCACATTCCCCATTTTATAAGTTGGCACTTGTGTTTTCACGTTTTTCGTGCCACCGAAGACGAGCGACGGGCCCAGCATTTTTGTTGCTGTGCGCCTTTTCAAAAGAGGGGCTTTTAAAAAAAATAAACGTGAAGAAGGGCAGAATTCAACGTTTGTGTCGTACATATGGACAGTGTAAATGAGTAAAAGGCGACCCTTGGCTGCGAAAACACACGGGACGGGTCTTTCGTGTAGGTTCTCCGAAATTAAGCAAGAATACTTATTGGGCATAAGAGGTTTTTTTTTTTTTTGGGGTTGGATCGTATAAATTAAAATGTTTCGTTAAACCCGCCACCACCCGACACAGCCAATTAGTAAGGTTAGTCACATAAACAGTACATGCCAATACATTTTTTTACGTGACAACCTAACTATTTGGCTGCGTCGGGTGGTGGCGGTTTTAACGACACATTTATATTTACACGATCTCACCCAAAGAAAGCTCTGGATAATTGTGGTCGTGAAAGCCTACGTGTTAAACAATTGAGTTTTACCATATTTTTATCTGCATTAAATGAAATGTTCTAATAAAAATGTTGTTATAATTGTGGCCATTTCGAGGTCTCTCCGAGCCATTGTCTTTGGCCAACTTTTGCCGTTGTCATACTTCAATGACCGTGTGGCGCTGCACAATGGGACTGTGTGAACGTGCCAGTATTTTTTTTATAGGTAAATAGTGTACACATTTTTTGACTTTTTCTTGAATTGAGATTAAATGACATATAACGCTCGACTAGTTGATGATTTTATTTCACCTGGTTTGAGATTGACTATTATGAGATACAAAACTAAGTTATACATGCGCGCACATGTTAAATATTAATTATTTCAATGCAGTTTTAAAGTAAATTATTCCGTGTATACTGTTGTAATATTTATTTGCAATTATTTTGGCACTAAAATTGTGCAAAGATTCTAAACAGATATCCATGTAATTTGATCCCAAAATTCATATTTACATACTGTTGCTTTTGTCATGCTCTGTGATATATCATCATCTGGAAGTCTAATCACGAGTAGATTCGATTTCAGAATAATCAAAAATGTTTTACAAGGTGCAATATTATAGGAGGATTATGGATTAAGTCATGAACACACAAAGTTGTATTGTGGGAAGGATACCTATTAATGGTTTTCATTTTAACTTTCAGGTCTGCAGCTGCCTAAAGATATATTCGAGCCGTCAAAAGGTATACTATTCAATCCTTTTCACTTCCATGCACATTAAACGTAGTCACTTCCGTTAGTTGTTACACAGCGTTGCTGAGTGGTGTGTGCTTTGTATAACTATAACTAATTTACTTAGTTTCCTTCGAAAGTTTCAACTTCAGTAGCCCTAACGTGTATTGGTGGCAGACCTTGTTGTCCCCGTTACTTATGTTTGTACGTTGACCCAAAGTAATTCTGCCATTGTTTACTTTTCCTTACAGCGGGAGATTTCATTGATGAGCTCATGTATTCGGATGGTGAGTTTGTCGTCGTCACTCACCCCTTTGCCATTCAGGGATCACACCGAATGCACACTCTGCAAGGATCTCTCCTTGCCTCGAGCGTAATTGAGAAAACAGCTGTGAAAAGTGACCGAGTGTTAACACGGCATTTGAGTTTTGTCGGCTGGGCGTACATGGGTCATGAACGAATCGTTTTCCTGGTGTGGTGGTTGGCGGCCCACACCTGTGACCCAGCCCTTGCGAGGTGGCGTTAGTGAGTCTTGCAAAGATATCGCCTAGCCCTGTGTAGGTTGACGTGGTGGACAGCAGATGGCAGTACAGCAAAATGGGTTTGTCTACCATTCATCTCTGCATATGTATTTGTGTTGCCCCATTGTTTGTGTAGTTTCTCTGATTATTCCCAGTTTCCTTTTCACATTTAATATATCCCAAATTAAGATCCTCTTTAAAAGTGTACGGATAATAAGTGATGCTGCATTCCGATTAATAGATCTTCTTCACCACGTTGTAAGTGAATATTTATCACGAGACTAAAGGGCTTTTTCTGAACAAGGACATTTATGAACTTGTCTCGTTATATAAGTAGGCATAAAATTGCATGCCCTTTCTATATATATTTTTACTACTTTAACTTAGTCCGTGACTCTCACAGTGTAAATTTTTGCCTGGGTGATGACGCATAACAACCTGTGCGCTGTACCCCACCATACAACCAGCACAAAGTTTGTATGTATTTTGAATCTCTTGTGCACCGCACATAGCCAACCGTGCTAATCAGAGGTGCTGCGGGGGAAGGACAACAAATTTAAACACAAATCAGTTCTAAAGAAAATAGTTCTCAATCTAGATTTTAAAAGTTCACAGCTCCATTGGCTTCCTAATATCGGAAGGAAAGAGCACTTCAGACGGCCACAGAAGCGCATCTGAAAGCACACTACTGTGGCCCCGTCTTTGTTTGATGGCTGGTCAAAAGCCGCAGCTGCTGCGAGGATAACTGGAGTTTGTGCTACCCCGCTAAACTTTACACGCACACACAAACGACAAAGATCCCCCGTATAGCCTTAACAGACTGTTGGAGCAAGTGTTGTTAGCGAGCACCTATGAATGCTGGCACGGCACATAAGGGGATGGGTGACCAGCACGACGCCCGGCCGCCTTTGTTTACAACATGACCGGTTCAGATAATCGTCACCGGTGTCGGCCGTGAGCAGGAATCGAACTCGGGCGACCGGGGTTCGTAGCACAGTGCCCTAACCGCTACATTACCACTCCCCACACTGGCACACACGTGCCCCGGTATCCACATGTAAACTCTTAACACCCCGTGTGCGTGCGTGCCCCCGCTCCCCTTTTGTCACTCTCTACCGCGCGCAGTGTTCACGCCACTGCTCCGATTGTCTCCCCCTCCTGCTGACCACGACTACTACTTCAACCTGGACGAGACTGAGGGCGTCTGTGACCTCTTTGACGTGCCTATCCTGGGAATCTGAACGCTCAATGCCGTCGGCCGTTTGAAGGTTTTCCCGAGGCGCGCCTTGATCCCGATTTCCACGTGCGTACGCTCCCTCCCACCCTTCTCTCCTCTTCAAAGCGTGAGACAGGATGGACGGAGCGAAATAAAACGGTGACATTGAGAGACTCGAACAGATTCTCAGTCCTGCCAAAATGTTTTTGATCGAAGTGCCTTTACCAAGACTACTGCCCTTCCTACTGCCCTAAACTGTCTCGGTCCACACATTATGTTATGATTTCTAAGTTCCATTTTTCAGAATGAAAAGAGGTTCCCTTGTTTCAGAGGCCTAAAACATGGCATGGAATTGCCAGTCCCAAAGGTTTTCTTTACAGGGTGTGGATTTTCAGACAGTCCTTCGAGACTGGATTTTTTGGTCTCCAAAAATAGTAGATAAAATAACTGTAAAGTCACCTATGAGTGAACAGTTTGGCCAGATGTTTGAGCTCCGCTTTCACGTGCCAAATTGAAACAGAAGGAAACGGTCAGTCACGATGTTTTCTTGATTTTTGTTCTGTTGGTGTTGTTGTAACCTTGCTATGTAAACATTTCAGGCTTAAATTTGGAACCGCATTAAAATTAGGAACAGGGAATTGGAAATGTTTTCGCATCATTGTGATGAGATTTAACATTGTGTGCCCTTGTGTGGATGGGACTATTAATGGCATAGAATAAACCATGCACACTGATGTACATTTTATTATGGCAAAGAAAGTATGCTTAATTTACTGCTTACTACGGGAAATTGTGTTCTTAGAGGTCTCTGTATTTTGGTCATTGAATATTTTTGTTTGTACATTTTGTCGACATCGGTTGCAAAAAAAATAAGCGGCAGAAATATTTCATAGCAGGGATGGGGTAAGTACAGGGCATCTGTGGGATTATTGCGTTAATTCAATAAAAATGTTAACCCGAGTTGAGCATGGTTAGAAGTGTTGTTCAGATGTCTTGTAGTTGCTCAATCCTAAGTTTTGAGATCACTTATTTTTTCCCGGGACCTCCACTGGCCCATCGGCTTGATTGTTGGGGGACGGTTCTGCTTCTGTCGGGCACCTTGTTTTGCGAGTCGGCAAGATCGATGTTTGAGAGCGAGTCAACAGGCACAGGCCCGTTCATTACTTGCTTGCTCATGCCTCTGCTGCCGAATTGGGCCTCCACTACAGGCGACTAAAGAACAAATCTACATGAGGGTATATGGCCACAGCTCGCCTGATGTTTTGGAAGAGGAAACGTAATTCACTATTCCAATTAGACTAGCTTTTCCACAGCTAGGGATAGGGCATACCTTTTTATTTTTACCAAATTTTCACCATCCACAGGACTCTTCACGTTCATTACATTTAGCGTGATCCCCACAGGGCCACGGAACGTGCAGAGTAAGCCTTTGGACTGCCGTCTTGTACGCGTCGATAAATGCAATTATTCCTTGGGTTGTATTCCATTTAAATTGTACGTTTGAACAGTACGACCCATTTGATACTGCCAATAATATCTAAACCGAAGATATGCTGCTTGCCTCTAAAAACAAAGGGCCGTGACTGAGGAATACCCATATATATGACAATTTTATTATAATTATGTTTATCTCATTGTTTCTAAATAATTCTGGCTAAGCTCCACCTGCCAGTGGATGTGTAGACTGTACTTTAATTGGGTGGAATGTATTCAGTGTGAGATATGCCTTAAAGAGAGCTGTTATATAAGGGACGTTCGATATTGGGTCAGAAATTTGAAATGCGATGACATTTGCTTGGGTGCTTGGCCTATCTATAAGTCAGGCATTTGTATTACGTGAGTTTCTTTTTTATTTTTATATTCACAATGGCAAGAGTAGGGAATCTAAAGCTGATAGAGCAGGCAAGGTGTTGTTAATTGGTTGCCTTTCCAACGGAGGTGGCTTGCACCGGGAAGTATTTTTTTTATGGTGGCTGCTTTAGACCGGCGATTCAACCTTCAAGTGCGAGTGGTGAATCGCAAGGAGACCGAAGCACCGTACATTTGTCACTGATGCGGTGCAGTGGGGGGGATGCCTGTTGGTTATTTTGCGAGTTGAACGGATGTGTTTCTCGTCTCGGATGGCAACAACACCCACTCCCTGGCAGTGACGAGGTCCCTACATTGGTCTTGCCACAACAGAGCCAAGTGGAATGTAGCAAAAGGGTGAAACGTACAATTGTTTAGTACCACACTTTATCCATGCCTTTATATTTTCTGTACATTTTTTTTTACTGTGACATTTGTGTGATGATATTTTTTGTTTGCGGTTTATTGTGGTGATTATTTTTTACTTTACTGTGTGCGCGCGCGTGCGTGCGTTTTGTTTTTTACTAAGATACGTTTGTGTTAAGCACCCAAAGCTTGCTTTGGTCGTGCTTATTTATTAAATTTCTTTGTCAGACTTTGTTTAATCCATACTTATTAATCCACATGTGAGCCTGCAGAGTTTTTTTTTTCAAAGCAAAGCACAGGTCCCTTGTCCTCTGCAACCCCTGGTGAATTTCTTGGTTCATCCGTGTTCATACCTGTGTTTGAATGGACTCGGGTGGAGCGGGTTCAGTGAACTATCACAGCACACATTGATGTCATTGAAATTCCACCAAGTGATTGTTGTCAAAGCTGCATATGTAGTGCTCACATTTGTACCGACATCACGCTCAAAAGCAAATAAAATCAAAAAGCTTGCAGGTCCATATTATATCACTGCTAAGTCATGGCAACTTTTAGTCCATGGGGTTTTTCGCATACTGGGTTCGCCTAATTCAGAGGCCAGGCAATTTACCGACTGTTATATGCTAGCAGAAATTGAGAGGACCAGGTTAATTTTTAGTTTGCCAACAGGTGTGATGATGTATGTTGGACTTCTTTCTCACCGTGTGTATCGAACCGTTGGAATTGGAGGTGGGTGGGATTCTTAAACTGTTTTGGAAATTCCACCAGAATCCAGCTGTCAATCCAGAAATATCACCTTTCATGGGCCCTCATGCGTCACGTTTGTAGACATTTTTATAATTTGCATCGGGACAGGAGTGGTTAGAGATCGAAAACAGAGTTGCCAACGTTCAGAAATATACTTTCTTTAAGAAGTCATTTTTGTTCCGGGTCTGTTTATCTTGCAACTTATATATAAAAAAGTATCAGTGCAGTGGCTGTAGCTCGATACGTTCGTTTTACACAATAGTACTTTTCTTTGCAGTAACGTTGGTTTCTGTTCACGAACTGTAGTCTGAAATGCCACATCCGCATTTCTGACAACATCCGTTTTCGCCTTGCTCGAATTATGAAAAACAGTTCGGAAGTTTAGAGACGTCAAACCTGTACGGCTGCGGCCGCGGCAAAATGAGCGATACTTTGGTCTCAGTTGCATGCCACCTCTTGAACAGATCTCGTTGAATAAACTGTCGGTTAAATAAACTATTTAGCCACATTACACCTTTGGCAAATCAACACAACGGTTGTGTAACTCGGTAATGGGGTTGGCAAGGGCTCCTTAACCAGATGAGCTGCATTGAGCCAAATACCGTTATAAAGTGGTGTTACCAACATACCCTGCTTGTTCATTTGCGAGTATCGCAAGCATGCACATATTAACTAGATAAAACCTGTGAATTGTACTACCTTTGTGAATTGAGAATGCTGTGTGTGTTGCGTTGAAGCTTCTCAAATTCCCCATTTTGTTGTTGTTGTTGAAGTTTACATTTCAAATGCGACCCTGTGTGGTTCTGTAGCTCGTCACAAAGTAAGCGTTTTAACAACCAAATGTTGTACCTTCTGCTTTAAATGTGAAGGTGTGTACCGTCCGTACGAAACGTCTCGCCGAGGTGGCGAGATGTTAATTACCTTGCCTGGTATAAAGGAGCTCGTGGGATTCTATCCCGACCCTGTGACGCCTGCTATATATTTGGAGTTTGCATGTCTCTCTCCCCGTGGTTGCTTGGATTTTCCCGCGAGTCCTCCAGGTTTTTCCCCTCCACATTTCGAATCAACATCACGTGTTTAGAGACTTTGGTTGCGATAAATTTCCACACGATAAGCCACTTTGTAGAGCCATCATTTGTGATAGCCAGGTCACTTATGAAAAAGAGCTACAGTGAGGGAAAAAAGTATTTGATCCCCTGCTGATTTTGTACGTTTGCCCACTGACAAATAAATGATCAGTCTACAATATTTTTGGTCGGTTTATTTGAACAGTGAGAGACAGAATAACAACAAAAACATCCGGAAAAACACATGTCAAAAATGTTATAAATTGATTTGCATTTTAATGAGGGAAATAAGTATTTGACCCCTCTGCAAAACATGACTTAGTGCTTTGTGGCAAAACCCTTGTTGGCAATCACAGAGGTCAGACGTTTCTTGTAGTTGGCCACCAGGTTTGCACACATCTCAGGAGGGATTTTGTCCCACTCCTCTTTGCAGATCTTCTCCAAGTCATTAAGGTTTCGAGGCTGACGTTTGGCAACTCGAACCTTCAGCTCCCTCCACATATTTTCTATGGGATTAAGGTCTGGAGACTGGCTAGGCCACTCCAGGACCTTAATGTGCTTCTTCTTGAGCCACTCCTTTGTTGCCTTGGCCGTGTGTTTTGGGTCATTGTCATGCTGGAATACCCATCCACAACCCATTTTCAATGCCCTGGCTGAGGGAAGGAGGTTCTCACCCAAGATTTGACAGTACATGGCCCCGTCCATCGTCCCTTTGATGCGGTGAAGTTGTCCTGTCCCTTTAGCAGAAAAACACCCCCAAAGCATAATGTTTCCACCTCCATGTTTGACGGTGGGGATGGTGTTCTTGGGGTCATAGGCAGCATTCCTCCTCCACACACGGCGAGTTGAGTTGATGCCAAAGAGCTCCATTTTGGTCTCATCTGATCACAACACTTTCACCTAGTTGTCCTCTGCATCATTCAAATGTTCATTGGCAAACTTCAGACGGCCATGTATATGTGCTTTCTTGAGCAGGGGGACCTTGCGGGCGCTGCAGGATTTCAGTCCTTCACGGCGTAGTGTGTTACCAATTGTTTTCTTGGTGATTATGGTCCCAGCTGCCTTGAGATCATTGACAAGATCCTCCCGTGTAGTTCTGGGCTGATTCCTCACCGTTCTCATGATCATTGCAACTCCACGAGGTGAGATCTTGCATGGAGCCCCAGGCCGAGGGAGATTGACAGTTCTTTTGTGTTTCTTCCATTTGCGAATAATCGCACCAAATGTTGTCACCTTCTCACCAAGCTGCTTGGCAATGGTCTTGTAGCCCATTCCAGCCTTGTGTAGGTCTACAATCTTGTCCCTGACATCCTTGGAGAGCTCTTTGGTCTTGGCCATGGTGGAGAGTTTGGAATCTGATTGATTGATTCTGTGGACAGGTATATTTTATACAGCTGAGATTTGGAGCACTCCCTTTAAGAGTGTGCTCCTAATCTCAGCTCGTTACTTGTATAAAAGACACCTGGTAGCCAGAAGTCTTTCTGATTGAGAGGGGGTCAAATACGTATTTCCCTCATTAAAATGCAAATCAATTAATAACATTTTTGACGTGCGTTTTTCTGGACTTTTTTGTTATTCTGTCTCTCACTGTTCAAATAAACCTACCATTAAAATTATAGACTGATCATTTCTTTGTCAGTGGGCAAACGTACAAACTCAGCAGGGGATCAAATACTTTTTTCCCCTCACTGTATATAGCTCAGCGGGACATACGTGATAAAAATATATTTTTTTAAAACATCACTTCCCCAGTTCACTTTGAGCAGTTGCTTAACGTTCAGTGAATTATAATCGAGACTACATTGGTCCTTGGGGTCGTTTTCCTTTTTACAATTCAGCATGAGCTACAGAAGAGTCCCTCGTATTTAAAAATGTGTGAATTTTTTATTTTATTTTACAATGTCACATCTGTTCGGAGTTTTGCAGACGTTAGGATGATTTTAAATCACCTTAGGAAACATTGCGACGTGACCTGATGCAACTGGACATCACCGTTGAAATAGCGAAGTCTCACTTTGCGTTGTCATACTCTCAGATGAACCAGACTACCATTCCCCCCCCCCCCCCCCCCCCCAATTAACTGAAATGTTTTACATACTCTGGTTCTTTCGGTAAGTCACGTAGGTAAAGAAAATAAAAACAAAGATAAAAAATAAATAAAGTCACGACGTTTCGGTCGTAACACAAGCGATCGTCATCAGGCATGACGAAGACCGCTTGTGTTGCACGATTTAATTTATTTTTAGCATTTTTTTTTCTTTACCTATGTGACTTTACTGAAAGAACCAGAGTATGGATCCTTGCAGTCACGAAACTTCAAATCTAGAATGAAATGTTTTATATAGGGAGGTTCTTATTTTCAGATTTGACAGATTAATCGGACAATTGGGAACACGTGTCTAACCATGTGGTGATGCATGCGCCGTGTCATTGCAAGCCATCATTTTACTAAATTACACCTTCGTGGCTACAATCCTGGCACTTTCTACAGGCAGCCGATGGAATGTTACCAAAAATTGGTCTGGTACGGTGCTTTCATTTATAACCCAATTACATTTCTACTATGTCTCATTACGAGTGTATTTATCCTTTTTAAGTCAATGAAAAGGAAACAAATTGATAACATTTGGTGTTCTTGGAAATATTTACTGGTTTGTACATTGTGCTAGCTTTGGCCAAAATGAAAATCCCATCAGACTTCATCTACTCTCGACTTATAATGCACAGAAATGACTTGTCAGGTGTAAACAATTAAATCGAGTTGCTGAATGTAAACTACAAACTAAACTATTTAATTTTACCAGGTAAGGTTCACTGAGCTATGTAGCGCTTTTTCAGAAGCGACCTGGCCACAAATGACAGCTCAACGAAGTGGGCTTATCACGTGGAAATTTATTGCAGCCGAATACTCTGAACGCGTGACGTTGATTGTAAATGTGGAGGGGGGAAACCGGAGGACCTGGAGAAAAAGTCCACGCGAGCACAGGGAGAACTTGCAAACGCCAAATAAACAGCAGGCGTCTGGGTCGGGATTGAACCCACGACCTCCTGCATACCAGGCGAGGCAGTTAACATCTCCTAGCCACCGTGGCGTCACAATGAGCGAATTCGCACAATTTGTAAACGATACCAATCCGTGGCTTCATCCATCTAGGATGAGGGGGTGGTGGGCCGCTCAGGTTATGACAATTGGCGGAACAGCACGGCGCAGGACATTGTTTCACTTACGGCATTGTCAAACAGGACTACATTTTGGGACATGAATCAACCTTTTGTGTCCTTACACTAAAAGTATATACAAGGAAATGGGATGTGTAAGTCGAGTCGTGTCCTTGTAGTGTAAAAAAAAAAAAATGGGTGTAGAATTATTTACACTTTCACGCAGGAAATTGATTGGCCAAGCTGGAACTGTGAC